CTGGCTCCACAGTCATGTAAAGCTGAGGATGCTGGGTAAGACAAAGCAGCGCTGTTGTGTATCAGTCAAGTGTGTCATGTCTGGAGCACGTTGATGACAGAAGTTTGGTTGAGGTTTTCTTACTTTCTTACCTCACACATCGAAACCTGCACTCAGTCAACTTCACCTCAAACTCACATGAGGTCAAATTGATGGTGTCACACAGTTTGATTGATTTACTGACACAGTTTGACCAATTCCCTTTTTATTATCTCCAACAAAGAGCTCATGTTTTCGCCCCTGTGTGGTTTGTTCGATGGTTTGTTTGTGAGCAAGATGACACAAAAACAAATGCGATGTGGGTCAGGGAAGAATTTAGTATTTAAATCCTGTTGTGGATCTGAAACAAAGAGGGGAACCAAGCCTTTTTTTCCACAATCTTTAACATTGCAAGGTTATTCAAAGATTTCCTTGGTTTCCTTCAGACTAATTCATGGGTCTTGATTAAAAAGATTTTAAAAGACATGTTTAGTGTGTACAATTTGGTAAAAATCTAAATAAAAACTTAGATCAAGTGAATTCAAATATAGTTTTATATGGGGACTGTTTGAGTAAAATGCTGAAAAAAGGCTATCATTACAAATATGACTGTAGTCAATATGGGACAAGACACTCTTTTGTCTATATTAGTCTTTAAAACCTGGAAATCAGGATCTACTTTTCTTTTCTACCTCCTTTTACCCCTTCATTCTGTCTTCATTAAGTGGAAGACAGAATGTACTGTAAGTCTCAATGTGTAAGTCTCGATGTAGCGTTCTCCTGTTGGTTTGAATAATTCATGCAGAACAATGAGTTTGCCAGGAGATGCAAGTGTTCATCTGAGGACAAGCTGCGGCTGTTCCACTGTCTCAGGTTTCATCACAAACACCTCATGGTCACAACACCAGTGACTGTGACTAAAGGGATCTCAGTTCACATCGAGCCACGAAGAGCAAAATGTTCAACAGGTCAATGACTCGTAGACAGACAGATTGATCGTCTGTTTTCAAAATCTTACAAGTCTTTCTGGCGTCTCTGTGAAGACGACAACAACGGAGAAGAACACAGCAAATCAAGGGGGAGGGAGCAAAACTCTGAAACAGACAATAAGAGACGAACGTTGAGCTTAAAGAAGAGGTCAGACAGTTTGGATGGCATTCAGAGGAGTGCTTTTATTTCCTGACCTGCTCTAACTTAACTTGTGTACTTATTATTACATTTTCTATTGTACTTATTTTTCTCACAAAAAAAAGGTCAAGTGCAGTATTAAATAAGAAACTTTATTTATATGGCTGTTTTCAAAGTGCTTTACAATAAGGAAGACAAAATAAAAATTAAAAGGTCAGATAAAAAAAGGCCGGTAAAATGTTTCTGTAAAATAATGTTAATCATCATCATTAAAGTAAACAAACAACAGGAGAGCAGAGTGTGTTTTAAGAAGGGACTTAAAAGATGGGACTGACTCTGCCAACATAATTTCCTCCTATGAATATTAGCAGCGGTACTTACTTGTGTTTAAACTAATGTGCCAAGACTCATTGAGCAGTCAGTGTTGACAGTTACATTCTCACCATAACGTACAGTACACTACGATACTGTGAGTTAATCTGTAAATCCACCAGATCAGCATCTCATTGCTCCTTTACTCTCGGCTTTGTCAGGAAAGTGTAAACACTGGTGTGTGAGAAGTGTAAATGATAGACTCCTCATTAACTGTGTGTGTGTGTGTGTGTGTCTTTCATATTTGCAAAGGTTAAGTGCTGGAATATGCTGAGCTCGGCTGTGAATCAGTATCCAAACAGAAGCGGTCGACAGGAACGTACCGAGTCAAATTCAGAGTAACACGCAGTAAACACGAACTTCCTGGTTACCACACTGTTGTGGCTAATATGAGGTAATTGCTTCACATTGATGTGGTCACATTTCATCAGAGGAAGCTCTGCAGTCTCACTGTTAACACTATTATTAACCGTCAGGATGGACTGTGTAGTTTGGTACAGTAAAGGTCTCCGTTTAATTTAACGGCCATCTACATTTATGCAAATAAGTCGTTACCAATCAAACTAACATTAAATGTCATTTGAATTATTCTTTCACTGACAGACAAAGTGACACGGGTGTAAACAGTGTGGCAGGGCGTCCAACAGCTCACCTGGTTCAGCAGATGCCCCATGTACGCGTTCTCCTTTGACCCGGCTCTCTGCTGTGTGTCTTCCCAGCCCTCTCTACCCCTTCATGCTTAATTCTATCATATAAAATAATTAATAAATAATTACCTAAAAATAGATTTTGTATTCCAATAGGTTATCCTGCCTTAAGCCACAGAAACAGTCAAAGCTAGTTTTAACGCTTTGTTTTTGCTCATTTTGATTCTTAAGATAGATAGCCCAATATATTGTAATCACTTTACACTCTGTGCTTCGATCCCTTAATCCAAAAAACTCCACACACTCCACTCAGAAAAATGAGAGTTTCAGGAAGTGCAGCAGAGGAGGAATCCTTCCAGTAAAGACACACATGAAGTAGATGTTTTAAATCAAATGAGTAACAACTTGTTTTTGTTTCCTTCAAACAGAGCCCATCCATCTGTTTCCTCTTTTCCAGTCTTTGTGCTAAGCTAAGCTAGCCAAGCGCTGGCAGTAAATCATTTGTTGGGAGTATTACTTGGGAGAGTCTCTTCAGATGATTCTCTTCTGGAGCTGATCGGTCAAAGGTCAAGAAGAATATGGCTCCAAAAAGATTTTTAAAAAGGAGCAAATAATAGGGATCGGGAGAAAATCTAAAGCTCATGTTGATCTCAGAATTATTCCCCATCATATGATATCATATGATAAATTACATGAAGAAGTTTTAAAGACGCGAGAAAATGACGATTTGCAGCTTTTAACTTTTGCAGCCATGGAACAGTGGTTGTGTCGCCTCACAGCAAGAAACTTCTGGGTTTGAACCATGCATGTGTTCTCTCTGGGTTCTCCGGCTCCCCCCCAAAGACACGTAGGTTTACTGGAGATGAAATTAAACAGTTGTAAATGTGAGTGTGAATGTTTCTCTTTAAATACAAACGCCATGATTGGGACCTGTCCTGCAGCCTCTCACTCAGGTCAGCTGTGATTGGCTCCTGTTCCCTTATATAGATAATGAGATGACAGAGTAGTTGATTGGTGTATACAGTGCAGCACCCTCAGGGCTTGTATCTCCGCTTCTCCTTTTGATTTTACGTCATTTGAGTTTATGTGAGTTATTTTTGTTGCCGGTGATGTTTTTGTTTACTGTGGATGAGCAGCGGTGCTGGTTTTGGGGCAGGGAGATATCCTTGTGCTGCTTATTTATTTATTTCTGTATTTATTTATTTTCTTGTTGCTGTATTTGGAAAATGCTGCTTTGTCAGCAGGTCAGGTAGATTTTTTTCTCTCCCCCCAATTCTCATTTTTCTCCCACACAAACAAACATTAAGAGCACTGACACATGCACACCCACACACCCACAATCACACATGCACACACACATGCACACTCATAATCTCTGCTTTGTCCTCTTTTCTCTTCTTTCCCTCCTTCTCTCTCTCTCTCCCTCTCTCCCTCTGTGGGCATGAAGGCAAACTCAGCAGACCTCCAGGCTGCTGTGGAGTGAAAGCATTCTGGGTAATCCAGGTTGCGAGACGGAAGAGGGAAAGAAAGGGAAAAAACTCACAAAACACACTTGATGCTGTGCACAATGTTGTACACCACAAACACACACGCCAAATCCTGTCTCACACCACTGAACCATGGAGATACAATATCCATCTGTGTCCATCTGCACGTTCATCTGCCGAGACAAATACAGACTGTTTTCACAGCAGAATGTGGAGTCAAAAATCTGCAAAGCATCCAGTTCCTCTTTGTGCCAAACGTTAACGATTAAGAGATATGAAGGAGAACGAGGGAGGATGAGGGAATGGTGGTGGTGGAGCAGCGGATGATGCAGGAGCGTCGTCAGTCCGCTTTTATCTCGGCTCTGATTAAACCTTGTTCCTGTCTGACCTAAAAAGTCAGCTGGCGGAAACTTCAGAGACTGTGGGTGAATTTCGCTTGAGTCTTCACACCCAGCCCGATGCCATCAGAGAAGTAGAACAGAGAGTGGGCAGATGTGGAATAAAATACTCACACACCCAGACAGCAAGCTGGCTTTATGTGCTCGCGTTCGTACATCATCATATATATGGATACACACTCTCCCACACCGCATGTCACTAGCTGCTCTTTATTCCTGATGAGGAAGAGGCCGACTCTGGGTGGAAGCTCTGGGTTAGTCAGGAGCACAATGCCACAGGAAGCAGACGGAGGCAGTGCTGAAATGTGCCAGTGCCGCCCGTCTGGGACAAACACAACAAAAAACATAAGGTACAAAAATAAACCTGGGCCGCAGCGTGGCAGGGCATCTACAGTAACAGGAAACATCCCGCTGAGGGGGGAGACAGAAAGAGACAGAGAGAGAGACAGGGAAAGAACTTTGGATTGCTTTTTTTGTTTGTTTGCTCTTGTGTTGTTTCATGGCAGCAACCTCATTAGAGGTTTTGTATCATATAAGTTAAAGCAGATGGGGAAGTGAACAGATCTTTTTTTTTTATTGCCATAATGCAGTGTAAAAATACTAATTTGCAAATAAAGTCCTGATGTGACAATGTCACTTAAGTAAAATCACATAACATAATTAGAAACTTTAGTTTAAGTATAACAGGTAAAATTAGGCTACTCAAAATACAGAAAATGTCCACAATGGAATACTAAATGATATTAGTGGATTATGATTACTGTATTCATGTATGTGTAAGTAACATTTTACTGTCGGTTGCTTTTAATATTCTGTTGGGTGGTTTAATCCTCAACTGTGCATCATGACGTAAGTGGCATCAAATGAAAATACTCAATTACCTAAATGCAGAGTGGCCCATTTGAATTATGATGGTAAATGTCACGTATGTGTGTGTCTGCTGCCTTCAGAGCGCTGCAGCAGCTCCCAGCCCAGTCCTCGGAAACCTTCCCCCAGGAGAAGGCATGCCGGTGGGACCAGTCCCTCCAGGATTCTTCCAGGTATACGGTGCACACACACACACACACACACACACACACACACACACACACACACATTCTTGTAGTTATGTATCTCAGTGAGAATGCTCATTGGCCATCACGCCTAAATGCCTAACCCCTATACCCTTATTCTAACTCTAACCCAAACCTATTTCTAATCCTAACCCTAAAAACCAAGCCTCAACCCTCAAATTGCCCGATGACAAAGTGAGGAGCGACTGAAATGTCCCCAATGTCCCAAAATGTGCTCACTCCATAAGTTTAATGCTCAAAAGGGTTCTCAAAAGATAAGTAAGTAAACACACACACAGAGATCATTGTTGGGGTCTTTAGGCCACTTTTACACACAAGTAAATGATAAAAGGGCCACTTGGTAAACTATGGCCCATAACTTATTCAGGGTATCTGTCTTAATATGAACAAATGTTTCTTATTCCTTTTTTTCCTCAGATGTGAGTATTTCACTTTTGGGACTCTTCCTCAAAAAACTCCCTCACATCTCACAGACAAAAATATCCACCTGTGTCTTCGTCTCAGATCATGTCTGTTCTCCGTCAGAAAGACTCTGCCAGTTGCACATTGATTGACCGTCATCTGTGAAAGTCAGACGCTCACGTCTGACATGCAGATCAATTCTTCATGCACATTTCTCAGCCCCGCTTTCAAAAAATTCAAAGAACTGCGTCTGAACGGTGTTTTCCATTTCTGTCTGTACATCAATTGAAAAACAACATCCCGTCAAAACCAATCAGTTCAACAAATGCAACAGTTTCTTCATCCAGGTTCCAGGAAATTCTTTCATTATAGCTGAAGTTTGTGATTAACCGGAGAGAGATGTCTTATGGATTCTCCATACATCCATCCCTGCATCCTCCGTCCATCCCTGCATCCTCCGTCCATCCAACCATCCCTGCATCCTCCCCTACATTAGCTATACTCTCTAGCCTATCGTTTTGAGGGTCACGGGGGGGGGGCTGCAGCCAATCCCAGCTGACAGTGGGCGAGAGGAGGAGGGGGTTGTTAACACTGGACATGTCATTATAGTAATATAACAGTAAATCGTCCTGTGCCTGTAAATATGCTGTATATACACAGGTCTTTACACATATAGCTTCAAACATGTTTCATATTAATTGAGTCAGTTTATGAATTTACTCATTCACTGATTAAATACAACCACTGACTCATTCATGTTCAGTGGTTTATTTTTTATTTATTTATTCATCCAAAAACAATGTTTTTCATGTATTTAAATTTACATATAACTGATATAGTATAGTTGAATACTTCTTTTCATATCTGTTTTCATTTTAATGGATCTTCAGCACAGCGGGGGAATAAGAAGCTGGTTTATTAAAGAAACTACCCGATCAAAACAAGTGGACTATTGCTCTCTAGTGGCCAGCTGCAGTAGTGCCTCTCCAACACTGAAGACTAACTCCTCTCACCACAGTGGCATCAGACAGCAGACATAGCAAGAGCATTGCTACCGTCTGTGGCGAGAACAATTGAAAACACACTCACAGCTGCAAAAGAGCTTCTTACACATGCTGCCAGATTACACACACACACACACACA